CCACGCCGCGTTGCAAGGGGAGGTCGAGTAAACAGAAGGCTCGTGACAGCAAAGCTGCGGCTTTCACCAAACGACTGGCTAAGCTTAGGCCGACGATTGGCGGGAAGGTTGCGCGAAACGTGTATGCCACGGGGGCTCTTGCTTCGTCCTTGTTTGGGTCCGAGGTTCACGGGGTCACGGACTTCGAGCTGCTTCGGCATCGACGCCAGGCAGCCAGGGTGCTCCAGTCATCCGCGGCTGGTAGCAGTCTTACGGCTTTGCTCCTGACCTACCAGGATCCTACATGGTACGCTGCGGTCGCCCCGATCGTGAGATGGTCGAAGGAAATTCGGACTTCCCACCATGGTTTGTATTCGTATTCGATCCCGTTGGCCGAATTGAGGGCTGCTTGGGAGGCGGTGTTTTCCCAGGAGTCGCCTTTGTGGCGGAGTGAGGCTGGCCCTGTGGGGATCCTCCGGAAGTCTCTGGAACGAATCTCGTGGCATATGCCCAGCTTCGGAATGATGGTTACCGATGCTGGCCACAAGATCCGTCTCTCTGAATACTCCCCCCGTCTCTTGAAGAGCTTGCTGAAGAAAGCTGTTTTGCGTTCTTTGGAGTGGGATTTGGGAGCCAAGCTCAACATGAATTGTCGTGCTTGCTGCGACGGGGTCCTTAGTTATCTCTTTTCCACTAAGTACACCCCTTTCCAGAAAGGGTGCATTCGATCTTGTTTGCCAAGCGATTTACACCCGCCACCGTGCTGCCAGTTTAGGTTACCAGCTGGATTCGACCAGCTGCCCGCTGTGTGGAGACGCGGTGGACACACTAAGGCATCGTTTGTGGGAGTGCCGTGCTGTACATGAAGAGCGGGATGAATTCGTCAAGCCACGTGTTCAACAGTGGGCTGCCGCGAGTGATAATGCCTTGGCGGTTTATGGTGTATTTCCTCACCCTGGGGATCTATTTCCAAAGCCTTTGACCGATGGCGGCATTCAGGTGGAGTGGGTGCAGGGCAGCCCCCAGGACCTCGACCAGACTTTCGAAGGAGACATGTTTATCGATTGGTCGTGCTCTAGAGTCCTCGTTCCCGAACTCAACCGCGTTGGTTGGGCCTTCACCTTGGTTTGCAGACGTTCAGGTCGTGAGATCGTTCGTGTTCGGGGGCCTGTTTGGGCACCGTGCCCCCAGACCCCGCAGGCGGCCGAGTTCCACGCTCTGTCTGTGTCGATCCAATGGTCCACAGGTCCGCGTGATGTTTTTTTGACTGCCAGAACTACGTTGATTTTGCGGCACTGCCTTGGCCTGAACAGGCTTCGGCGAAGCGCATGTTTCCTGGCATTGCTCAGTTTGTCAGAGAACACTGGCCTAAAATTAGCCTGGTCAAGGTTCGAGCCCACATCGACGTGGATCAGGCCAGTGACGACTGGGACCGCTATCTGAGGCAAGGCAATGAGTGGGCAGACGTGTCGGCCAAGCAGGCGGCTTCTTTGCATCCCGCGCCTCTGCCGTCTAAAGCTGCTAAGCTGGACAGGCATCTGGCGGTAGCCAGGGCGGTAGGGCGCCTTGCTGCCAAGCTGCTCCCTCTCTGGCCTCGTCTGGACATGGGGCCAGACGTCCAGCGTATTTCTGCCCCGCCTGCGCCTTCGCAGGCGCCGACCACCCCCCACAGGTGGCTCTGGGTGGGCAATTTTGGCAGTGCATTGCTTGCTTGAGAAGGAGGAAGGGGGACTCGATGCGTTTGCCAGCTGGGAGATCCTGCTCCCTGGCTTTACGCGTGCAGCCAGCGGCCCGCCGTGAACTCGGGCACCGTTGTGTGGTCATAGATTGCTCCGACGGCACTTTTTGGGGTGTCTGCCAGCGCTGTAATTACACGACGTCAGGTGACAGGCTGGCTAATTTGGCTAAGCCTTGCAAGCCGGACAAGAAAGTGTGTCACAGCAATCCGTGGACGAAGCTGGAACGTGGGATGCATCCTAAAAAGGCTGGTGTCACTGTTCACCTCAACACGTTTTGCCGTATTCAGGGCTTGCCTGTGCCCCGCCGTTGCGCTCGCCACGCCGCGATCTTCATCTGGCTGGATGGAGGATTGACCTCAAAAAATCCTCCTCGTCCTCCTCCTCATCTTCCTCTTCTTCCTCTTCTTTCTCTTTTTCATCCTCCTCCTCCTCCTCCTCCTCCTCCTCCTCTTCCTCCTCCTCCTCCTCATCCTCCTCCTCCTCCTCCTCCGCCTCTTCCTCCGCTTCCTCCTCCCCCTCCTCTGCCTCCTCCTCCTCCTCCTCCTCCTCCTCCTCCTCCTCCTCCTCCACTGCCTCCTCCTCCACCTCTGCCTCCCCTTCCTCTTCATCTTCCTCCTTTCCTCCCTCCTCCTCCTCCTCCTCCTCCTCCTCATCATCATCATCATCATCATCATCATCATCATCACCATCATCATCATCATCATCATCATCATCATCATCATCATCATCATCATCACCACCACCACCATCATCATCATCATCATCATCATCAGCATCAGCATCAGCATCATCATCAGCATCAGCATCATCATCATCATCATCATCAGCATCAGCATCATCATCATCATCATCATCATCATCACCATCACCATCACCATCACCATCACCATCATCATCATCATCACCATCAGCATCATCACCATCAGCATCATCAGCAGAATCATCATCATCAACCTCATCATCATCATCGTCGTCATCATCAACATCATCATCCTACTTATCAGCAACATCATCATCATCATCATCATCATCATCATCATCATCATCATCATCATCATCATCGTCGACGTCCTCCTCATCATCACCAGCATCATCACCATCATCACCACCACCACCAGCATCAGAATCAGCATCAGCAGCATCGTCGTCGTCATCATCGTCATCCTCATCATCAGCATCATCACCGTTGTCATCATCATCAGCATCATCATCAGCATCATCATCAGCAGCATCAGAATCAGCATCATCATCAGTATCGGCAGCATCATCAGCAGCGTCATCATCGTCATCATCATCAGCAACATCATCAGCATCATCATCGGCATCATCATCATCGTCATCATCATCGTCGTCATCATATTATTTCCCTCCTCCATCCCACCTCTATTTTCTCAATCCTCTTCTTCAATCCTCCCCCTCCCCCTCCCACTCCCCCATCCCCTTCCCCCTACTCCTCGTCGCCTCCTCCTCCTCCTCCTCCTACTCTTCCTCTGCCTCCTCCTCCTCCGTTTCGCCCTCATCATCCTCTCCTCCTTCGCATTCGTAGTATTAATATGTATGCTTATGTTTCTTCTGTATTCTGAGCTTATAAATGGTATTCATAATAGCCTTAGTATCCTTGAAAATAATATCGCCCATAATAGTATGACTAGCACTACCATTAGTATGAGTAGTTTTGGTAGTAGTATTGTTTACTATCATCATCATTAACTTAGTGTTATTATTAATATGAAAGATAAGGTTCACCTTAGCATTCGTCTTAATATGTTTATTAGTATTATTATTCGTCGTATTGTTCGTTATAATATTATTGCGATTAATCACATTCGACTGCTTAATCATGGTGTGATCGTTCTCATTCAGCTCGTCGGTAGTCTTACTAATCGTACGCATAATAGTACTATTCTTCGTGCGCATAATTTGACAATTGCAAAGGCAAATCAAGGGGGGGCTACCAGTGGACCAGGTCTCTACGCGTTGGACTAGGACTCCTTTAGGCAAGCCATATTGGTGAAGAACCTAAAAGACCCCCGAAAACGTTCGAGAACACCTGAAGAACCCCAGACCTCTGATGTTGTGATTTGCAACAGACGGTCCCTGGTGCTCTCCATCCCTTCACGGGGGCTTCCACGACCCTGGAGACAGAAGAAGGCCCCCATAGGTCGTAAATGGTGAGACACCTCAGCCGTGCTGAGCACCTGGAGGTCGTGCTTGGAGGTCTGGGCACCTGAAGCAAATGGCAAGAACACCACGAGGAGACTGCCAGTTCTCCGCGCGGGCCTCCGGCTGTGTACGTTTATGTCATCGCTCTCTCCTAGAGGAAGCCTGTGCTGGCGGCGGCAGCTCCAGCTTCGGGCAGGACATGGGGGGGGGCCTGCAGCGCTCGACGACAAGACCTGCCTCGCGGCTCGTCCCCCGCCCCCTGCCGTGGAGAGCAGGAGGCGAAAGCAAACGGACAAGGTGAGAGCGGGAGTGGTCACGACGACACTGCGAGGGAGCCTGCGGAGAAGGAAAAAAAAAAACAGCACGACCATCGACCTTCGGAGGTCCGCGCGGATTACCTGGCTCGGCGCTGGACCCCCTGCCTGGCGCAAGGTTTCCCTGCGCCGACCCAAGGGATCCCCACGCGGACCTCAGGAAGTGCTGCGCACATGCCGATACTTCTCAGTAACAAATATCAGTCCTCTTCTTCTTATTATTATTCTTACTATTATTATTACTATTATTCCTCTTCTTCTTCTTCTTCTTCTTCTTCTTCTTCTTCTTCTTCTTCTTATTATTATTATTATTATTATTCTTCTTCTTTTTCGTCTTCTGCTTCGAAGAACGGGCGACGGTACAGAGAATGGCTTGGAGTCCCAAGATGGTGCGGGGACGGACCGTGCGGTGACCTCGACACCCCAAAAGACCTCACCACACGGTCCGTCCCGCACGGCCTGGGGACCCTGGAGGCCCCGGTCGCCCGAGATAACCCTCGGAGAGCGACCCGAGTCCCGAAACCGTTCGGTGACCCCGAACCTCCACTGACTCGTCACACGGCGCTGTCACCGCACCACTCGGGGATGGACAAAACCCCCTTTAGTAAAACATGGTTTAGTGAAAACGACCTCGGGCCCAAATTTGGCGGGTGCAAGCCTGGAAAATGACGGCCTCGGCGCCCTCTCGACAGCCGAAAACGGACAATTCACTAATCGACGTGTCAGAGTGGGGGTTTTGTCCACCCCCGAACCACCTGGGGAACCCCGAGTGGCGGCGGCGACGGTGGCACACCAGCCAAAGGGCCTGCGACGCGGGGTCGAACACCTCGCAGCTGCACAGCAGGCCCTCCACGATGCCCTCGGCGGGGGGGGCAGGGCGGCGACGGCCGTGTCTGCGGGGCGTCGTCATCGTCGGCCTCCTCGTCGTCGTCGTCGTCGTCGGCCTCGTCGTCGACGTCGGCGTCGTCGCCTCGACGTCCTCGGAGCCGGAGCCGGCGTCGTCGTCGCCGGCGGCAGGGGCAGGGGCAGGGGCAGGGGCAGGCGAAAGGGGGGATAGGACAGGTCGGGCGGGATGGGAGGGGGGGAGGGGGAGGGACACAAGTTAGGTGCGCTCGCGTCAACATCTGACATCCTACCCTTCCCTCCCATCCCTTACCATGGCGCTGATTTTCTCTATCCGCGGTCGCGTGTCGTAGCGGACCTGTGGCTCCGCGCGCGTGTGCGTAGTGGGTGGTGGTGCGCGTGCGTGCGTGCGTGTGTGCGTGGTTGTGGTTGTTGTGGTGGTGGTGTGTATGTGTGTGTGCGTGTGACCGACCACCAAATGCTTCGGACAAGTTACAAACACCAAACACGGACAGAGCAAAACCTGCTTAAAATGGACTGCAGCATGGTCTCTCCCAACCTTCCAAGAGACATCTTGCATATGCGCGCGCTCTTGTTTATCAGAAATCATCAGTGTTCAGGGAATCCACCGCAAAAAACGGGACGAAAGGCGCACGCGCGCGTCGTCGCGCGCGCATGCCGGAACCCCTTGAAAAAACGCTGGCTCTCGTACGCATTTCGAAAAGTCGAGCGTCACGAAAACATTGAATAATAATATAATGGCTTTGCAGCAAGAATTCTCGAACAAGTTTGCGCCCGCGCTCCTGCGAGCCTTCCGACAGGCCTCGTACAGGGCAGTTTTTAATACATAGGATGTTTAGAAATATTAGATTTTAATACATGATTGATTTATGAATAAATTCATGCGTGAACTCGTCGTTGTTTTTAATACTAGATCCCTGCATTTTCAAGACATGATCCGCACGCGGAGCATGCATTGAAAACGGCACTGTACAGGCTCGAAGCTGGCGGCGCTCTCCCCCGGGCCAAAGGCTTCCCCGTGCCGCCGTGGCACCCGCCGGTGGAGGCGGCGCCTCGTGGGTTCGGAAAGGTTATTTCCCTACCTAGGCTCTGCCTAGAGGGTTCTTACTCTCTTAGCTTAAAGGGGCCGGGCAGTGCACAACGCCCCGGGCGGTTCTCCCAGTCCCCGCCCCGCGGTTCCCCCAGTTGCGCCCCCTGGGTTCACCCAGCTTGGCTTGAATAAGCTTTGCTTAGCTTAGCTTAGCTTAGCTTATCTCATCTTAGCTTAGCTTAGCTTAGCTTAGCTTGGCTTAGCTTAGCTTAGCTTAGCTCAGCTTATCTCATTTTAGCTTAGCTTAGCTTACCTTACCTTTTCTCATCTTAGCTTAACTTAGCTTAGCTTTGCCTAGCCTAGTTTAGCTCAGCTTTAGCTTAGCTTTAGTTTAGCTTTAGCTTTAGCTTTAGCTTTAGCTTTAGCTTTAGCTTTAGCTTTAGCTTAGCTTTAGTTTTGATGTAGCTTAGCTTTAGCTTAGCTCTAGCTTATATTTAGTTTTGTTTTAGCTTAGCTTTGGTTTAGCGTTAGCTTAGCTTAGCTTTAGCTTTAGCTTTAAATTTAGCTTTAGCTTTAGCTTTAGCTTTAACTTAGCTTTAGCTTAGCTTTAGCTCAGCTTTAACTTAGCTTTAGCCTAGCTTTAGCTTAGCTTTAGCTTAGATTTAGCTGAGCTTTAGCTGAGCTTCAGCTTAGTTTCAGCTTAGCTTTAGCTTAGTTTTCAGTAGCTTTAGCTTAGATTTAGCTTAGATTGAGCTTAGCTGTAGCTTAGACTTAGCTTAGCTTTAGCTTAGATTTAGCTTAGCTTTACCTCCGCTGTACCTCAACTTTAGCTTAGCTTTAGCTTAGCTTTAGCTTAGCTTTAGCTTAGCTTTGGCTTAGCTTTAGCTTAGCTTTAGCTTCGCTTTAGCTTAGCTTTAGCTTAGATTTAGCTTAGCTTTACTGTTCCTACTCTTGCTGCTTTCCTAGGGGCTTCAACTCCTAGGTAGGGTCGCACTGGGATAATTCTTTCCAAGGGCAGGAAAGGAGGAGGACGAGGAGGAGGAGGAGGAGGAGAAGGACTTTGGAACTGGAGGAGGAGGAGGACGAGGACGAGGAGGCCGAGCGAGGCGCTCACCTCGCTGCCGTCAACCCACGCAGGAGGAGGAGGAGGAGGACGACGACGACGACGAGGAGGAGGAGGAATCGACCAAAGGCAAGTGGGGTCTCAGTCGGATCCGCACCGTTACTCCCCCTCCCCGGGCGCTGCCGTCCGTGCAGCTGGCGCCGAGCTCAGAGGCTTGCGGGAGGGTCAGCGGAGGGTGATATTATAGGGGGCACACATGGGGTCTCGCAATTCTTCACTGCTGCCAACCACAAAAAAACTCCTTCCTTGTCTTCGTCATTATTGTCCTTCCTCTTTTCCTCCCTCCGTGACCCATTATTTGGCACTCCCCCGGATCAGTCCCGTGAGTCGTGCAACGCCTAGGCCACATACGCAGCTTGCATACAGGGTCGAGTCCCTCGTCGGTCCCCAAGCAGCGCTTGCATTTAGGAGTACGTCACTGGGAAAGTATACTCACAAAACCGCGACCCCATCCCTGTCGCCAATCCGTCGCTAATCCGACGGATCGCAACCTTCTCCAGAATCCCATGCGGCCAGACGGATGGCTGGAAGACTAAGAAGACGGGGGGGCGTAGGGGGAAGGCTTCGAGTAGGAGAGCATCTACATCATTGAGTTACCCCAAAGTTGGTTGTTCCCTCAAACCGAACAACAAAAAAACAACAAAAAACGTGTGCGTGCGTATATATATATATATGTATATATATATATATATATATATATATATATATATATATAGGTCCGCCGACACTGGCGGCTCTGCTCGCAAATTCGCTTCGTTCCGCCACCCGGACGCCGCTTTCGCTCCTAGACCGTCGCCTGGGAGCCGCCGACCAAAAAGTATATATATTACACATAAACGTGTGACATATATATATACACACACAAAAACCAAAACAAAACAAAAACCGAAAAGGACACAACCAAAACAAAAACACGATCTAAAAATACGATGATCAATGATAAAATGTAGAATACCTGGTATATCTACGAACATATGATGCATCGTCCTGCAGATTCAACGAGAAAATGAAAATAGGGGTAAGTAAATTCTAGAGTCGATCTACTACTCGACGGATGGGCGGATGTGGGGGGGGACAGATGGGCGACGAACGAAACACGGGTCTTGCGCAAGATGGTATAGCGACCTTACGAGGTCGCTTGCGCGGGCCGCCAGCGCGGCACGCTGCATTGGAAACGAGGGCGCCAGCGCGCGACCTTACGCGGGCAGCTTGCGCGCCAAGGTCGGTGAAGACGATCCCGTTCTCCTCTGTCGCTCAGATGGAAGAGCTGCAGCAGCAGAGACACCATCGGGGGGAGGCTGGGGAACGTGGACATGCGCCGCCCACGCCTGCCTTCGCACCTCCCCCACTCACGCAACAGTCTTCGAACCGCCTACGAAGCAACCCATCACACAACCGGATGGAGCCTATACACACAACGTGAAGTCTCCAGAAGCAGCCTTCCCTTCTTCCCTCCTCTAGGACGCCAGGTATACACAGGCACCGATCCTGCGCCAAATTTGTAACCGATTGGCGTTCCCTTGGCTCCCTTGGAGGCCCGCTCCAGGTCATCGCTTTGACCACGTAATTGTGGGACGTCCTACGTACGGCCTGACTGCCACAACTACGGCACAAGCAGGGCGCAACTGCCACAACTGGGGCACAACGTCCTCTGGGTAGGGCATGGGTGTACCCGGAAGAGCGAAGCGGGCTTCTGAGACCATCCCCCATAGGGGAGAGAGGCGAAAAGGCTGCACGAGCACGCACCCTTGGAGATCCGCGCGGCCTTCTCCGAACGCACATGCTCGTGTCGGACGCTGCCCCTCCGAGTCCTGAGGCAGACCTGAGCCCGATGGAGTCGCCAAATCGAATCGGATCGGGAACGGATCGGATCGCCAGCGACTCATCCCGAATCCAGTCGGAACCCGATCGCCGCGCCCCGCGCTGGCTGGCCTCGCCCAGTGCTGGTGAATCCAGCCAAATCGAATCGAATCGGAATCGCGGGCCCAGCCTGCGCGATCCAAATCCCATCGCGTCGCATCGTTCGGCTACAGGTAAGAGTGACCCCAGGCAAGAGTGACCTTCGGTGCGCGACGTTCGGTGGCCGCGTGGAGGCCGAACCCGAGCGCGCAAGCCGCTGTTATCTCGCACCTCATTCCGCCATCTGGGGACCCCAGCGTGCCCGCACGCAAGGTCGCTCCGGCAACAGGTCACTCTTACAGTCAACCCACAGCGCAAGTATGCGCGATCAGGATGCATGGGCCTTGGACGCCCGTGTCGAAGCTTTGCGAGCGGAGCGCGGCCCACGAAAGTGGCCAAGGATGGACCGAGGAGGCAAGGATGCAAGGGTACCCCTGGGAAGGTTCCCCATCCTTGCTATGCGGGTTGACCGTACGCATA